AGATCTGGATTTCACTGTCAATTTCCGTTGAATAACTGGACTCACTTGACTTTCTGATGTACAGTTTCATCGTAGATCATTGAGCAGGTTCTTCTTCACATCACTAGAGTCGCAGTGAAATGTACCGTTTGGGGATGTTTGTTCTGATTCTGCGCGTTTCACTGGGTAAGTCGGTCACTACAACACTTATCCGAACGCTGGAAATTATGGTTTTTGCTACATTCCAATCCTTTGCCATTTATTAAATAATGTTTATTTTCTTTCAAACAATTCAATTTTTTGTCAAATCTTGGAGTGTCAATGGTGATCACATCAAAGAGAGGTAAAGGGAGATGTCAATTCCGCCTAAAAATGTATCTTTCAGCTGTAAGAGGCTTTGGCGGTTTCACGTTCTATGCGTTGATCGCGCGAAAGGATTTTAGAGACTCTATAACTGATACGGAATTAAGCAGGTACTTGTTCTCACTGAACTGCAACCATTGTCTTAATCAAACACAAATTTCTGCAGAGCAGAATTCTGCCACCTGAGCGGATGGTCTGTTAACTAACCATAATTATTAATAATTCATTATAAGTTGAGATACCATCCAGTGACTTACATCAACCTAATATTGTAGGTATTGATTTTAGTAGTTATTCATTAATAAACTGCATTCAAACAACAATTTAAAACATTGTACTTTCCTGCTATTGTGACTGTAGCCTTATAATTTCCTTTTGGATCATTCAGTCATTAGTACAGGTTAGCGAGGATAATTGACAAATATGAGTTAAATTATTTATTTGGAATGATGATAGAATAATTTCAATCTTGTGCATCTAACGAAATCCCAATTTGGAAATATAATTCAATTATAACTTTGTTTTGCCAATGACAGACTGGAACTTTTGCAATCAGTTAAATTAGAACTCACTGGGATTTCAGACTCAGCGAGGTGTTAATTTTCTCTCCTTTTAGATGTCGTCCAGAAAATTAATCTTTAAACAGGACGATAACTTTGAGAAATTTCAATCAATGCTTTGGCAGTTTCCGTTGGGAGTTTTTTTTTAGTGTTGTCTCCTGCGAGTTTCTGTCAGGTGTTTCTCATTGTCCTTTACTATTCCAGGACCAGTCTGCAAAGTTCACTTTAGACCTGTTGACGTCGACAGCTTCTAAGTAACCATTTAGGGAAGGCAATGACCTGCTGGTATTATCGCTGGATTGTTAATCCAGATAATGATCTGCGGACCTGGGTTCGAATCCCGCCACGGCAACTGGTGGTGTTTAAATTCAGTAAATGTCTGGAATTAAGAGTCTAATAAGGCCCTGAATCCATTGACGATTGTCGGGGGAAAGAAACATCTGGTTCACTAACATCCTTTAGATCTGGCCGGCATGTGACTCCAGACCCACAGCAATGTGCTTGACTCATAACTGCCATTTGGGGATGGACAATAAATGCTGGCCGAGCCAGAGACGCCCTCATCGCATGAATGAATAGTTAAAAAAAATTCTATAGTTTCAACGATGACCATATTATACCCGAAAGGTTTGACCCCATGAAAATAATATTTCCCGAAATTTGCAACAGTTCTCATAAGCATCTCATACTTTACAATATTTTGGAAGAAAGCACTGTAACATCCAAAATCTAATTTCACATATAATCAGACATTGACATCCATAGAATCTTCTCTCTCAGTTTGCTCCAGATTTGCATTATGGAATTGCGCTTATCTTTCCTCTGTCTTCTTGCATTAGCGAGGGTATGCCTTCACCCGCCTCAAACCGATTCTGGTTAAATGATCAAGACGTCCAACCGTCCAACGGATCTGGGGTTAGTGACGGTGATTTTGTGGTCAGTCATTTTCTGTGAAATAAAATACCAGACCTTGCAGGAATCATTACTCGCGTGGGATGATTAAATAATATTCTAGCGTTGTCTTTTTTTCAGTGATGGCCTGTTACATTTTTAACAGTTGTAATACTTTTATTTCCGACATTCCATTTGTCTAAATATTGATGACATTTATGGAAATTATATAGAAAAATATCGAGGTAGCTTTTAGGAGCCGGCGCAATAGTGAAGTGGGAGACAGGTTCCCACCGGCTCCAATTTTCCAGCAAGAGGGGGAAGCGGGGCTATTTCAACCCATTGAATTAGCGGAGCATAGGTGATATCAGATTGTGACCGATCATACATCAAAGGAAAATTGGACAGAATGCAGCCTGGGCTGCAAATTCAATATGTTCACACTGGCTGTATTGCTTAAGAATAATTTTTCGGATTGAGTCGTTTACCTTTTTCAAGTGACTTAGCACATTATTTGCAGCTACGGCGGAGAATCCAATTAAATTGAATTTTGGTCGGTGTTAGGGACAAGGTACCGACATGGATAAAGATTGGCTGACTGGCAGACAGCCGAGAGCAGGGAGAAAGGGATTTTTTTTTTCAGATGGCATATGGTGTCTGTTGGCGTTCAGCTGGGGTTGTGTTGGGACCACACTATTCACATTATACTTTAACGATCTGGACTAAGGAACCGAGAGCATTTTCGCTAAGTTTGCAGATGATGCAAAAATAGCAGATGGATATGTTGGGTTTGGGAAGCGGGAGGCTTGGATTGGGTAGGAGAGTGAGCAAAACAGTGGGAAGCGGGATATAATGTGGGAAAGTGTGAGTTATACACTTTGGCTGGGAGTGGGCACAGACTATTTTCTTAACAAGGAAAAGCTTTGGAAATCCGAAGCACAAAGGGACTTGGAAGTTTTAGTTCAGGATTCTCTTAAGATTAACATTCCGATTCAGTTGGCAGTTAGGAAGGCAAAGGCAATGTTACCATTCATTTGGAGAGGACTAGAATACAAAAGCAGCGATGTACCGCTTAGGCTGTATAAGGCTCTGGTCAGACACATTTAGAACATTGTGAGCATTCTTGGGCCCTTATCTGAGGAGGGATATCCTGGCATTGGAGGGGATCCAGCGGAGCGTTACAAGACTATTCCCACGGATTAAGGGCTTGTCATACGAGAGGTTGAGGACTCTAGGTCTGTACTTTGTGGAGTTTAGGAGGATGAAGGGGAGTTTGATTGAAACTTACAGAATACTGAGAGGCCTGGATAGAGAGGATGTGGAGAAGATGTTTCGACTAGTGGGGAAACTCAGACCCAAAGCACAACATCAGAGTGAAGGGAAAATCCTTTAGAATAGAGATGAGGAGAAATTTCTTCAGCCAGAGGGTGGTGAATCTATGGAACTCATTGCTGCAGAGAGCTGTGGAGGCCAAGTTATTGAGTGTCTTTAAGAGGGAGATAGGTAGATTAGTGAGGGGATTAAGAGTTACAGAGAGAAGGCGGGGAATAGAATTGAGAAACATATCAGCCATGAACTAATGGCGCAGCAGATTCGATGGGCTGAATGACCTAATTCTGTTCCGACATCTTATGGTCTTACAGTCTTACAAAGTGAAGCGCCTTTCGAAACTTCATTACGCCAAAATAACGAAGTTGGTGCCGTCCAGAGATTCTTAGTTCCAGAAAACCAATTTTAATTACCCAAACTGACAAGAATCACATCTCCTGCGTCCTTATTGCTGGAAAGTAGAATCTCTATATTTGCACAACTGTGGCTTGCCGAATTCCAGGAGACAGCAATCCCCGAAGTGAGCCTCTGGCCATCCATCTTGTTGTTAAAATTTACTGTTCCTTCACTGTTACAGCAGCCTCTTTGCTCGGATCTCACCGAGGCAGCTCTATCACTCCAGACAGCTCAGCGTGATCATCGATTCCCGGTTCCAATGAGAGCTGCTAAAATTGTGATAGTTCACTGATGTGTTAATTGGCCAAACGATTTTCACTCAAATCACCCCTTGAACGAAATCTCAGGCTCTGCCGCAAGTTAGTTAAAGGCTACTTCTGAACATATAATAAGGACTCTTGTCACTTGCTGTTCATAGGGAGCACTGAAAGAAGCAGAGACAACAAGGTGCAGGGCTGGATGAACACAGCAGGCCAAGCATCGGTTTAGGACTGTTTCGCACAGACTGAGAAGTAACTCGATTTAAGGCAGTTTTGTAGCCGTCTCCATCTAACTTTCCCTCGCAGATCCGAAAAGCGCGATTTATGCGAGTTCGCACTGCGTCCTAAACCATTTCAATGACTTAAGTTTCCTGAAAGATGTTTTTAAAATGTGTCATTGTTTGTAATTTAATGTGATATTTTTAAAAATTTGCAGTTGTAGGGTGCTCTGAAGATTTACCCATTATAAATTATTGAAGTTTCGAATTGAACATAAATCAAATCGCGACTGAACCTCTTAGATGAAGAGTTCCCGATTAATTCTCATGCGAGGAAATAGAAATTTTACATCCCTTTTCACAATTCTGCTTCCATTGGGACTTTGAAAAAGCCGCTTGATAGTGTGATAAGTACAAGCTGAATGGCAGTTTTAGTTAAACTTGAGGTGAGTACTTGAAGGAGAAGAAGGATGAGATTTGGCGAATGGTGACGGACTGGGATGAACTGAATGCTCTTCAAAGGTGCCTCGGCAGATTTAACACAGCGAATGGCTTTCTCCTGCGCATAAGCATTAAAGACTATTTGGAATCTGTGCAAGAAACTAAAATACTACGTCTGAAATACCTCTAATAAAGAAAGGGAGCCCTGGACATCTGTCTAGTATTAGGAGACGGGATTATGAGGTAATAAAATGTTGGAAATTCATTCCCCAATTGTAGCAAATGGAGGACGTGTTCGACAAAAAAAAAAATTGTGCCCACAATGATCAGATCGGAGCAAACGTGATGACCAAATGGCCAAATCTTTTGACCAGGACTATCGTCCTCCGGGTGCGGGAATGAAATGCTTAAACTGAGAGGCGAGCGATTTTGAAAAAAAAACAGTTGTGAAGTGAAAAATAATCTGTGGAGAATGAGAGAATGGGGAATTGATGCACCTGCTTTGCTAAGCGCAGTTGAGGGACTTAAAACATAGAAGTTAGGTCTCTTGTGACGCCGCGGTAATGATTTTTGATTTAGATTTAGATTTTATTGTCACGTGTGGTGAAGTGCAGAAGTACAGAAGTACAGTGAAAAGTGTATAATGTTGACACACAAGGCACCATCTGAGGGACGAAGGTACCTAGGTACAAAACAAAAATTGGTTTAGATTAGTAACAGAAGCAGAGTTAAAGAAGTTAAGCATTACTTCATAGAATAAGTAGAAAAAGTAAAGAATAATTTACAGTAAAGTCCCTTTCCCTCCTTCTCTCCCACACGCCTGGAGGAAAACAACCCAAGCCCATGCAGTCTCTCTCTCATAGCTGATTCACTCCAGACCAGGCAATATCCTGGGTCCTCTGCAAACACTCCAGAGCAACCACATTATTCCAATACCTATCTCCACACATTACTCTAGTTGCGACCTGAACAACATTTTATGTAGCTCCATCATAACTTACCTGCTCTTGTATTTAATATGGTGACTGATAAAGGCAATTTCATATTCCTTCTTAACCATCTTGTCAACCTGACACATTGCCTTCATGGATCTGTCGACTTGCACACGATCCTCTGTACGTTCTAGGGCTCAACCAATCATCATTTACAAACTTGCCTTATTAGTTGACTGAGAATGCATCACCTCCTGCTTTTTCAGATTAAATTCCTTTTTCTTCCGATCTATCCACTTGACCAGCACCCTCTTAGCTTTTCCTCCTCGCTATTTACCATACTATTTTTTTTTTATATCATAGTTGTGTCTAGATCATAAATGTATACTACGAACAGGAATGGATCCAACACCAAACCCCCAATTGTATGCCAAAAGACATAGGCTTTCATTCACAATAAAAACACCTCTGACCATCACCCTCTGCCTTCTGACACTGAGCCATTTTTGACCAAATTGCCAAACTGCTCTAGATCCCATGGACTATTAGAGTCTCCCACATGACACCTTGTCAATATCTTTACTGAAGTCGAAGTAGACTACTTCAACTGCATAACATTCAATTGCACACCTCCTCAAAAATCTCGATCAAAATGGTCAGACATGCTGACTGTCCTTGATTTCTCCTTATTATCCAAGTGGAGAACAATTCTGTCCCTCAAATTTATATTTCCAAATGCTTCCCTGCTACTGATGTTAGACTCATTGATCTTTAATTCCTTGGTTAATCCTTTTTTTGCCACAGTTCTTGAATATTGGTTACGAAATTACCTGTTGCACAGCCCACAGATTCCTCTCCTGTGGTCAGGCAAGATATGAAAGTTGACATCAGGTTCCTGCAAACTCATTCCTTGTCTCTCACGGAAGCCTTGAAAAATATAGTCTTGTGATGTATCCAATTTTGAGTCTGCTTAAATTGCTAATACTTCCTTTCAAGGGTCATTTGTTCAAACATATTACCATAGTCCTCCTTGATTTTTATATGGACATTACTCTCCTCTATAGTGAATACAGATGCAAAGTTTTCATTTAAAACCTTACAAAGGTCTTCAGATTCCACACACAGCTTGCCACTTCAGTCCCTAATGGGCACTATCTTTCCCTGGTTATTTTTTAGCCCCTAAGATGCTTCAGATATGCCTACGATTATATCTTATTTTACTTGTCATCATTTTGTTTATTCAGTGAAAAGCAAAATATTGTGGAAATCTGAAAAAGAAAGCATGAAAAATGCTGAAAAAATATTCAATAGATCTGAAGCATACGCGAAGTGAAAATTTGAGTTCTGAAGAAGTCACGCTGGACTTGCAATGTTAATTCTGTTTCTCTCTCCCCAAATGATGCTCTCATATTTATTTAAACATTTAAAATAAATGGAGATTAATCACCAATAATAATGAGGACATGAGGGATTCCTCTGTTTCTGAATTATATTCTCCCATTAAATCTTTGTGTCTCCTGATGCACATGATCTGGATAAACAGGTCTGTGGATCAGCTCTTTGATAGCAACTTATGTTCACCATGATCCTGGATACTTTGCAACATAGCTTTATAGCACTCTGCATTATACTTCACCAACGATTAGGTGGGATAGACGTGTTGCTCATCAATTGTGGGTTACAATTAATCATAGATCATAGAATCCCTACATTGTGGAAACAGGCAATTCGGTCCAACAAATCAACACTGCCCCTCCGAAGAGCATCCCATCCAGACCTATTCCCCTACCCCTACATTTCTCTTGTCTGACCCACCTAAGCTACACATCTCTGAACACTATGGGCAACTTAGCACGGCCAATCCACCTACACTGCACATCTTTGTACTGTGGGAGGAAACCCACGCAGACATGGGGAGAATGTGTAACCTCCACTCGGACAGTCACCCAAGGCTGAGGCTGGAATCGAACCCGGGTCCCTAGTGCTGTAAGACAGCAATGCCAACCACTGAGCCACTGAGTCAATGTGCCACCCCAAAGCCTTCATGACGAAGTCCAGATTTGGTGTGATAACATTATTGAAGTATCATGAAATATTATAATATGGGATATAATTTATTGTAGAGCCAGTCTTTGGTCTTTAGAACATGAAAATGCTGGAAGCTTGAATAAACTAAATGCATTACAGCCCCAAAAAACAAAGCAACCACACTTGATGCCAAATGCAGGTAGTCACACATAAACAACACATTGATGGTAAATGCACTTTAAAGATTTATACAAGTGGAGCATGCTTTGTTTGGTGTATAATGTACAATGTAATCAACAGCTAAAATTCCTTAGACTTTGGAACTCACTGGTAGACATATATAGATTTCATTGCTGTGGCTCTCTGAGTTCCAATACAACCTGATCTTTGGGCATCTGGTGCAGGGGGGAATGGATTGATTGGAGGAGGTCCCCATGGATTTGTTCTTGAGAATGGGCAGGCCAGCTGTAAACAGGCAGAAGGCTATTGTGGGGGTCATACTTGCTGACAGTCTGCCCATCTTTTGCAGTTCATGCCTGGGTGTCCTTGGAGAAGGAGCACATAGTGTCCTCCAATGCTCTCCATGCCTTTAGAGAGAGGTGGGCACTGTGGGGAATGCAGTGCTTTCTTCCACCATTCAAAGCCTTTTTGATTTAGTGCCTTCCCGCTCTCCCTGCACTTTTGATGGTTTGCATTGACCATAATGGCCTTTGCTTGTAAATATTCCATTGCTTACTTGGCGGTGCTTACTTGGTCGTTGAATAAAACAAAACAAAATTCACAGTGAGTTTGGTGGTGAGAAGGTCGCTCAGTTGTGCATAAAAAACAGCTTGATGATCATTTATCACGATATTGCGACTGTCATTTTAGTTTCAGTTTGGCTGCAATAAGCGTGCATTGGCTATTCCAACAAATATGGTTACATTTTTCTTGTTCTAGATACAGGCAGTCCCAGCTGTGCTATGTCTATTGACGACGTTGTACCGTTTGAGTCTGTCATATCACATTTAAAGATTAATAAAATACATTGTTTCCAAATTAAATTTTAACGTAATTATGGGAAGTAGCACAGATGGAGAGAGAGAAAAAAGTAAAATTTTCTCAGTAATTCTGACCATGACACGAACGCTCAGTGGGATTCGTTAAAGATTGAGCGAGAGTGGTTAAGCCAAAATCTGTTAACACAGCAACTCTTTGAAACAAATAACATTAATACACACACACAAATGACTGGATCATAGAACTGTTCTCTCAGTGTAAAGAGACAACTGGTAGTGGTTTAACCTGAGGGTTATGACCACTCAGGCGAGGGGTTAGGTTGAGAAGGAAAATCCTTTATGGTAACCTTAGCCAATGCAGGAATCAAACTGCAACATCCCTCTACATCGCAAGCCAGCCATCCAAACAACTGAGCTAACCGACTCCAACGAGTCAGTGCAATTACTGTGTCAAATTATAAAATAGTTTATAATGATTCCAGGATGCGTACTTCAGTTCAATTTGGGAGCATTTTGCAGAGTTAATGTTTTTTCGCTTTGACTTTCAACAGAGCTGAGAAATCCCACGTTGGTGGGGCCGCATGCACCATGTGGTGGAGTATTGAAGGTTTATGACCGAGGTCAGTGGAAATATGTTTGTAGTAGTCGGTGGGATTCAGCTGCTGGAAGGGTTGTCTGCAAGCAAATTGGCTGCGAGTTTTATCTCACAGAACAACCGCATCCCATCCCATCAGGACCTGTGTTACTGGATAAGATTCAGTGCAAAGGAACAGAATCTTCATTGTCGGAATGTGCATTCATTCCTTCCGGCCAGCAGAAGTGTGAAACTGGGATGAGTGTAATCATCATCTGTAACGGTATTTATGAACTTCTGATTAATATTGAATATTTCTGTGTGCGTACTTCATTAGCTTATATGGGAATTTGTCAGGAAAATGAGCGGAAATCCTTCACTTTGGGTGGAATCTTGTTGTGGCGCCGGGTGTCTCAGCAGCTGGTAGGAGAGCTGAGAGGTTCCTCGGTTCCTCTTTCAGGGAACTGACATGCGGCTTATGTAGTTTATGCAGGAAGCCACATGGAGTTTATAAGTCTTCTCTAAAATAATCTTTGAAAAACATTCATTCCCAGTTGCCGTTGAGCGTGTGGTAGTGAGTTACATTTTTTAACAGTTCCAGTGCATGGGTGGGGGACTGGTTGTTATGTAACCCAAACAAGATGTAAAGAAGGAAATTTCAGAGTTTTGACCCATGACAATGAACAGCATCACCAACAAGTTCACCTCCAACGCACGCACTATCGTGAACTAGAACCATATCGCACTTTGGTTTTGGTGCTTGGCAATGAACCGGGACAAGTGTTAGGCCTGTTGGTAGGAGACCATTTTGGCGGTAGTGATCATAACTCTGTTACTTTCACAATAGTCATGGAAAAGGATAGGTACATACAGCAGGGTAAGGTTTATAATTGAGGGAAGAGTAATTATAATTCTGTTAGGTAAGAACTGGGTAAAATAAAATGGGAACAGATGCTGTCAGGGAAGAGCACTATGGAAATGTGGAGATTGTTTAAGGAATGCATACTGTATGTACTCGGTATGTTTGTCCCTAGCAGGCAGGGAAGATGTGGTGGAGTGAGGGAGCCTTGGTTCTCAAGAGAGATCGAATGACTGGTTAAGAGGAAGAAGGATGCTTATATAAGGTTTAGGAAACAAGGATTGGAAAAAGGCTCTAGAGGGATACAATTTAGCCAGGAAGGAGCTGAAGAAAGGGCTTAGGAGAGCTATAAGAGGGTATGAGAAAACCTTGGCAGATAGGATCAAGGAAAACTCCAAGGCTTTTTACACTTACATGAAGAATAAGAGAATGACCAGAGAAAGGGTAGGGCCGATCAAGGATTGTAAAGGAAATTTGAGCACGGAGTCTAAAGAGATAGGAGAGGTCCTTAATGAATACTTTTCTTCAGTATTCACAACTGAGAGGGAACTAGTTGTAGAGGAGGACAGTGTGAAACAGGCTGGTAGGCTAGAGGAGGTCAATGTTAGTAAGGAAGATGTACTAGGAATTTTGAGAAACTTAAAGATAGATAAGTCCCCCGGGCCTGATGGGATTTATCTAAGGATTCTATGGGAAGCGAGGGAAGAGATCACAGGGCCATTGGTGATGATCTTTTCATCCTCACTGTTCACGGGTATAGTGCCGGAAGATTGGAGAGAGGTAAATGTCATTCCCTTGTTCAAAAAAGGGAATAGGGATAACCCCGGAAATTACAGGCCATTTACTCTTACGTCAGTGGTGGGCAAATTATTGGAAAGGGCTCTGAGAGATAGGATTTATGATCACTTGGATAGGCACAGTTTGATTCATGATAGTCAGCATGGATTTGTGAGGGGTAGATCATGCCTCACAAACCTTATTGAATTCTTTGAAGAGATGAGCAAACACGTGGATGAAGATAGTGCAGTGGATGTGTTATACATGGATTTAAGTAAGGCGTTTGATAAGGTTCCCCATGGTAGGCTCATGCAGAAAGTAAGGAAGCATGGGAAAGGGGGAAATGTGGCAGATTGGATTCAGAACTGGCTGACCCTTAGAAGATAAAGGGTGGTAGTGGACAGAAAATATTCAACATGGTGCTCAGTTACGATTGGTGTACCATGAGGATTTGTTCTGGGTCCTCTTCTATTTGTGATTTTTGTAAACAATTTGGATGTAGGAGTGGAAGGGTGGATTAGTAAGTTCGCGGACGATACGAAGGTGGGTCGAGTTGTGGATACTGCGGAGAGCAGTTCTAGGGTACAAAGGGACATTGATAGGATTCAGAGCTGGGCTGAGAAGTGGCAGATGGAGTTTAACCCTGAAAAGTGTGAGGTGATTCATTTTGGAAGGACAAACTTGAAAGCAGAATACAGGGTTAAGGGAAAGATTCTTGGCAGTGTGGTGGAGCAGAGGGATCTTGGGGTTCATGTCCACAGTTCCCTGAAAGCTGCCATCCAGGTGGATAGAGTTGTTAAGAAGGTGTAGTGTGTGTTAGCTTTCATTAATAGAGGGATTGAGTTCAAGAGCCATGAAGTTATGCTCCAGCTCTGGTTCGGCCACATCTGGAGTATTGTGTCCAGTTGTGGTCACCTCATTACAGGAAAGATGTGGAAGCATTGGAAAAGGTTCAGAGGAGACTTACCAGGATGTTACCTGGAATGGAGGGAAGGTCTTACGCGGAAAGGTTGAGAGAGCTAGGGCTTTTCTCTTTATAATGATGAAGGATGACAGGTGACTTGATAGAGGTGTACAAAATGATCAGAGGTATAGATAGAATGGACAGCCAGAGACTTTTTCTTCAGGTGGAAGTAGCTATTACAAGGAGGCATAGTTTTAAAGTGAGTGGAGGTAGATATAGGGGAGACATCAGAGGTAGGTTCTTTACTCAGAGAGTGGTAAGGGCATGGAATGCATTGCTGGAGAGGGTAGTGGAGTCGGCCTCGTTAGGGGTATTTAAGTGGCAATTAGATAGCATATGGATGATTGTATAAGGTAGGGGTGGAGGTTAGATAGACCTTAGGTTTAGGGTAAAAGTTCAGCGCAACATTGTGGGCCGAAGGGCCTGTACAGTGCTGTACTGTTCTATGTTCTATGTTGTAAAGAGACCTTGGGGTGCAGGTTCATATTTCTTTGAAAGTGCAGTCACAAGGAGACAGGGTAGGGAGGAAGGCGTTTAGTATGTTTTCCTTTATCGGTCAGTGATTTGAGTTTCGGAGTTGGGATGTCCTGTTGTGGCTGAACAGGACATCGATTAGGCCTCTTTTTGAATACTGTGTTAATTTCTGGTCTTCCTTCTATTGGAAAGATGTTGTTAAACTTGAGAGGGTGCAGAAAGGATTTACAAGGATGTTGCCAGAGTGCGAGGATTTGAATTATAGGTAGCGGCTGAATGGGCTGTGGCTATATTCCCTGGAGTGTTGGAGGCTGTGGGGTGAACTTATAGAGGTTTATAAAATCATGAGGGGCACAGATAGGGTAAATATCTGATGCCTTTTGCCCAGGATAGGGGAGTCCAAAACTAGAGGGCATAGGTTAAAGGTGAAATGGGAAAGATTTTAAAGGCATCTGGGGGCAACGTTTTCATGCTGAGGGTAGTGCATGTATGGAATGAGCTGCCAGAGGAAGTGGTGGAAACTGGTACAATTACAACATTTTCAAAGGCATCTGAATGGGTACCTGAATAGGAAGGGTTTACAGGGTTATGGGCAAATGGAACTAGATTAATTTAGGATGTCTGGTCGGTATGAACGAAGAGTCAGTTTCTGTGCTGTACAACTCTCTGATTCTGTAAATAGAAACAAACGTGACCTATGTACTTAAGGGGTGCGGCCAAGTTGACGTGAAGAGTAATGGATGCCTGGTCATCAAGGACTCATTGCTGAGTGAGTTGAGAGAGGTATCTAAGGAAGATTTTTTTTTATTTTTGTTCTTTCAGGATATGAGAGTCATTGACAAGGGCAGCATTTCTTTATCCCTTTCAGTTCTCTGCTTAACTGCAGGTATGGCCCACAATGTCCCAATCTTCACAAGGACAAAAAGGCAGGTCCTGATTTACCACAACCCAAGGCAGGATTGAACCCCATGACATTCTTATTAATCTGATTCATAGGAGCCATTCAGCCAACTGAATGAATCAACCTTCCAAGGAAGCTAAGTTGGAGTGGCAACGCCCACTTTTACACGCATATTGTAGCCTGAGGTGAAGGACAGTGATGGTAGAGGCCCTGATTTCATTCCACGAGACAGCAAACCAAGAACCTTTCTAACCCTCACTGCATGCTATTGGCATAAATTGGAAAGATTTGCAGTTTGATACTTTACCAACTTGGCTGTTATACACACACTTTACATGGCCTTCAAAACAAAATCATCTTGTCTGAGTCGGAGGCAAATGGTTAAAGAATCAACCAAAAGGAAAATTGTGTCACTAACCTATCGTCACCACATGGAAATTCTCACTCACCACAAACAATTTAAAACACACATTTTCATTTCTTTTTTTGTTAAACAATCATTCCTAAAGGGGCTGAAATGAAAATTGGTGGTTTATGAGCAATAAGTTATGCTGGCATATCATAAATGGAGAATAATGACGTCCTGGAATTGGACTTGAACCCAGATCCTCTGGCTCAGATGGAGAGATGGTGTCCCAAGAGCCACAAAACCACCTACCATTTATTGCATATCTCTAATTGCTCTGAGGAATTTAGCAATAAGCTGCCTACTTTAATGGCTGCAGGCTATCTGCTAGGACCTGGTTTCAAGCATCTGAAATTAGTGGTACAGATTTTTAATGCTCTCATACAGGCAGCCAGTCTCATTCAATTTATCTTAACTTCAGCTGTTAAGCTGGAGTACCATCTTCAGATATGATGCATCTTTGAGCTGCGACGTACTTGGAAAATATGATTCAAGCTAAGGCACACCCATTTGACCAGCTACCTCATAATTTTCCATGATCATGGACAGAAGAATATGAATGGAAGGTTTGAACTCAATCCCTGGTGCATGTAGGCCATTCTCCAAACAACCGCCTGCACTGCCTGAGAAAAGTAGCAGTGTAAGTAATACACAATAAGATTCAATGACTTGCTTTCTACAAGTTCAGAAATTCCTTGGTCATGATGCCACGGGCAGCATCTAATTGTCTAGTGTTAAGAAAAAAAAAAAAGTTTGCTACAGTGTCTAGACTACCAAGTTGTAAACATGTGAAGAAAAAAAGTTGGCATCAAAATTATCGAGCAGGGCAAGAATTTTAGAGGGATATAATGAGAGGGAGGACTTTAATTAACCAATTAGCAGTGATTGTTGTAGTCTCAAGGCCAAAAAAGTGAAAGAATTCACAGCATGTATTCACTTGAAGTTTCCACAGTATAATGCTTCCAGTTCAACTAGAAAGGAGGCACTTCTGGACTTGGACCTTGAAAATGTGATATGCCAAAATATTAAAGCACTGGGATATTTAGAGTTCAGAAATTCTCCTACCTTAACTTTTATGATCATTTTTGAAAAGTACAAGGGACAATCAGAGTAACAAAAAAATCTCCAATGGGATAATAAGAGTAAACCTGATACAGATTAATTAAAATAAAACATTTGCATGCAATTAATGTTGCTTCAGTAAAACTTCAAATGATTGGACTACATCCTAATAAAAGTGAATGTCAGGGCTTTTTTCTTTTACTTTCTGTCTAATTTTACCACATCAGAGTTAATGTGTTTAAACTGCAACTGCATTTTCTCCAGGGGCAGTGAAGCAAAACGTGATTCTTGGAGATGGAGGTAGCCCGTGTGCTGGGAGGCTTCAAGCTAACCTGTTCGGTGCGTGGCGTCACATCTGTGGTCAAACGTGGGACATGAATGACGCTCGTGTTTTGTGTAAATACCTCAGATGTGGTGAAGCTGTATCAGTATCAGCATCTCAGTTTGGAGGTCGCAATTTGCCTGTGCTAAACGTTGAAATTGGCTGCAAAGGCAGTGAGACGAATCCCTGGGACTGTAAAATCACTCCTGTGATTTTCAGAGCCTGTTCGACAGAAGTGGAAGCAGCTGGTGTCATATGTTCAGGTAACTCTTCCTGTCTGAAACATTTAAAACAAAGAGAGCTGACATCAGAATTTGTTCTGCTTGTTCACTTTCCACATATTACTGCAGAAAAATTCTGACTGCAGTCTGCTCTGGCTTGTAAGTATTTTAAAACTACTAGTTCTGTTAAATTTTGCTATCAAGGCAGTGACAATATCAACTGCCTTTTAATTTCAATTAGTAAAAAACAGTCTGCTTATTCATGTTCCTATTGAAGGACAACCGGTTCAGGTTCTAGTGAAAGGCAACATGCATAATTAGTGCATTTGTAAAATGTTAAGAATTGTTACGTTTCGTTTCCAAACCTGGACCCTTCAATCTGACTTAAACAACTTTTATTATTTTACAATGTTGTGATTTCATGTAAGTTGTCTGTTGTGTGAAGAAGTGATGTCACCTCTCAAAAAAAAACCAAAAGAACTGCGGATGCTGTAATCAGGAACAAAAACAGAAATAGCTGGAAAATCTCAGCAGATACGGCAGCATCTGCAGAGAGAAATCAGAGTTAATGTTTTAGTTCCAGTGACTTCTGAGGAAAGGTCATTGGACCCGAAATGTTAACTCTGATTTCTGTCCACAGATGCTGCCGGAACTGTTGAGCTTTTTCCAGCAATTTTTTTGTTTCTGATTTTCAGCATCCACAGTTCTATTAAATTTTATATTTAAATGGTATGTCAGTTTTGAAGACAACTAATGTAACCTATTCCTTTCCTTACTGTCATTGTATGCAGCTGTACATTTGGAAAATAGAATGTTGCACTATTATTTCTAAAAAAAAGAATTGCAGTAACATTTGCAGACGGTGTGATTTTCTTTTACAGCAACCATAGAAAAATGCCATTGTATTTATGATCTTCAATACCTGTACATACAAGTGTATGAATATACAAACTTGGAGCAGGAGAAGGCCAATTTGTTCCCCAAATCTGCTCCTCCATTCAGTAAAGTCATGATTGACCTGAGTATTTCACACTACTATCTATCCTGTTACTCTTTAAACCCCCAGCTTATCAAAGGTTTTTCTGCCTTTGATTTGCAATATTCAAGGGCTCTGCTTCAACCACTTTCATTCCAAGGTCTCACAAGAATTCAAATGTTCCTTGTCTTTGTCATAAATGGACCAGACCTTATTTTAAAACAAGGAGTCACAGTTCAACATTGTAAAGAGAAAATGTCCTCTCCAGATCCATCATCTGAAGACCTCCAACAACGTAATGGTTCAATGAAATGCCTCAAACTCTCTGAATTCCACTGAATACATATCTAACATGCATAACTTTTTCTGAAAACGAAACCCATCAAACCATTCTTTGATTTCAAAACATTTATGTCCTTAAATAATTAGAAAAGTATTTCAGATGTGCAGGATGGAACGGTTGTGGAGGTGCCAAAGTCAAACATCACAAAATACATTTCCTGCTGTGCACTTCCTTCCATTTCACTGATGGAGGAGCAGTGCTACAAATGCGTGTGATTTCAAATAAATCTATTGGACCATAGCCTGGTTTAGTGTGATTTCTGACAATATAACTGAAGCATAACCTTTTTGTTTTGTCTGCAATTGCTCTAGCATTAAACAGTTACAATGTAATTGTTTTCCTAATTACTTACTGTCCCTGCATACTAACTGTTGTAATTCAGGGAAACCTATATCAGAAACTTCCACTACATTGGCAAATTTTTGAAGTGCAGCCTTTTAAGCTGGTTTTCTGTTTTTGGTTCTCTATCCTTAGTCTTTTGCTCTTTCCTGAATCTCTATTCTATTTCGTAAATCCTGATTCTCTCTCTTTTTCCCTCGAGATCATGTACTTTCATCCAAATTACCATTATTTTCAGTTCCAGTCTTGCTTCTTTATCTCAGGCTATCTCATTTCTTTTTCATCCTCAAACTGCTTTAGTTGTAATTAAATCATAATTACTTCTGATTACACACAGCTTGGACTACCTGGCAACTCTTGATTTTCCAGTGGAAGGGTGATTTTTACACTTTACTCTTTCTTTAGACCAGACAAGACTCAGCTTTCCGTGTTTAAACATTTATTCATGCATGCATGGAAAGCCTACCCATCAAAGGTTGCTCAGAATTGAAATCTTCCCAACAAAAGCAATGGATTATACTATTTAACAGATAACAAGCTTCCAATCAAAGAGGTACACATTCATTCGCCCTTATCTCTAACAAGCAGTTTTCATATAGTCTATGTTCCAGGTTAATACACAAGACAATATTTTCCAATCACATGCAAACTAGCACATATGATTTCATTAACTCATACTTGAGGTTGTGCCAACATGTTACTTATCTTAGCATTCTTAATTTGGTGCAAAAAGGTCGACATTAATTCCTTTGCCAATTATATTATTTTAGCCTTACATAAATCTTGCAAGCCAATCAGAGACAATTCCTTCATTTACAGGACATTTTAGTCACTTCCAATGCCATGTTAATTTAATGATATGAGAAACCTCATATTTAGTCCATTTTATCCTTTACAAAATTATTATTACTTCACCCATACATTCTCACATTGTCCATGTTCAAGACTGCTATGGTAATCCACCAGGCTTTGTTGAGACACTGAAGTGCAGTAGTGATTGAGCCTCACCACTCCACGAGTCATCTGAAATGTGTAATTGTCTGATTGATTCACCAAAATGGTTAAATTGCTTCAAAGTTATTGTTATCTAGGACAAAGAGCAGAACTCTACAAGGTTCCATCATGAAGCATAGAAATATATATATTATGAGCAAACCAGTCTTTATCAAGATGGGTTATTATCTCCTGCTATGTAAATTTAAATCATATCTCTTTTAAATCCACATGCACATCCATTCTTAGAAAGGACAAGAGGATAGATATAGCTCTGCAATACTACCTTAAGTCTGAAAAACAGGCAAAAAAAAAAGAAAATATTATGAACCATGAATCAAAACTTCACAGGTGGAATGAGGGGGCTTTTTCACAGCTTTTTCATTTTCTGTTGATGAGATCATGTGGCTGTTGGTCATGGGATGATGGAAGATCTCATTTCTGATCAGTACTAGCCAGTCAGTAAGACCCAGCTTGTAGTTCTGATTTCAGAATCTTTGAGTGTTTGTGTTTACAGACAGAGACAGTGACTATTGCTTTCTTACAAGCCTCTCCACAACCCTTAGCATTTTATTATTTTGTAGGAGAGGGAGAGACAAACAGATTTTTATTATTGACTTCTTGGAAATTTGATTTTAATTTTGTTACTCCCCACTTTGCAGCAAAACAGAAACTAATAGACCAAAATCTGTTGCTAGGTAGGACGGAAGTAAGGAATGCAGATGCTGGAAGTGAGAGTTAATAAATGTAGAGCTAGAAAAGCACAGCAGGTCAGACAGCATCCGAGGAGCAGGAAAGTCAAGGTTTCAGGTTGAAACCCTTCATCAGGAGTCCTTCAGCATCTCAACAAAGCCTGGTGGATTACCATAGCATTCTTGAACATGGAAAGTCAACCTTTCAGGCCGAAACCCTTCATCAGGACACCTGATGAAGGATTTCAGCCTGAAACACTGACTTTCCTGCTCCTCGGATGCTGTCTGCCCTTCTGTTGCTCAACAACCTGCCTCACAATGGTTATTTTCCATACTTCCCAAGCAATATCCAAAAGTTCAAGCTTTCATTTTTCATTCGAAACAAAATGGTTCTAGTGACTTGCTGTGATGCAGTTTAAGAGAGAAAAGAAAATGTGATGTTGGACTTGGAAGTCAGTCCAATGTTGTAATTAAGGATTCTAATGGAATTGAAAACAAATTAATCTTGCTCATAATTACAATTTTATTGTGAAATCCATAAATATTAAAGCCAAGATGCAGATAACCAGGTTTATAATCTAATGAACAGAGATTGCAGTAAGACTGTTCCAATGGAAAATTTACAATGCTATTTAAATTTTCAGCACAACATAACTAGCTATAGAGATCTTGATTTACCTTGTATAGTGAACGTTCCTTACTGTTTTAAAACAACAGATCACAAACAGCCGAGACTTGTTGGTGGAGCAGATAGATGCTCTGGAAGGTTGGAGATCCAGAAAGGAGACACTTGGGGGACCGTTTGTGATTTACACTGGAATTCACTGGATGCCAGTGTTGTGTGTGCATCACTGGAATGTGGAGAAGTTGTATCAGTCCTCGGAGGAGCTCAATTTGGTGAGGGCAGTGGTCCCATATGGCAAGACGTCTATGAATGCCAGGGAACTGAGGCCATTCTCTGGTCCTGCTCTACTATGCAAATAAATCAAAAGAATTGCATGCACAGACATGATGTCAGTATTATTTGCTCAGGTAAGTGTTTCATTGTTTCCTACACCTGTTATCAAGTGGAACATAGTTTAAAATCTGACCATTTTTAATTATAGATTTAAAGCATTATTTTCATACATCTTGATCATTTATATGCGAAACATAGTTGATGCTTAGAGTCAAATCCAGATTGCAGTTGCCTTTTCAATATTGGTGACTGGATATGACATTGTGGTATCACATTTCTCTTCTCATTTATTGAGCTTCAGGTGTTCTCTGGGATCAAAAATTCCAAAGATTCATGATCTTCAGAGTGAAGAACCTCCTCCTCATCTCAGTTAAAAATTCCCTTCCCTTCTTCTGAGACAATGTCACCTAGTTCTATACTCAACAGCCAGGGCAACATCTTATTTACATTGGCCCTGCATTGTGCTCTTACAGTTTTGAATGTATTGGATATCACCTCTCATTCTTTGAAAATCAAAAGAATTTAGGGACAGATTCCCAAAATCTGCTTTACAAGACAATCCTGCCGTGGAAGGAATTGTACCATATTACTCTATCTCTATGGCATGTGTATTGTTCCTTTGATAAGCAGACCAATACTGAACTCAGTATTGTAAGTATAGGCGTCTATACAGTTGCAGCCAAATGTTTTTTGCTCCTGTACTTAAATTCACTTGCGTTGAAGGCCAAAATACTATTTTCCTTTTGATTTTCATGCTATCTTTTTTGTCACTTTTGAACAACATTTGTTTAACTGTTAACACTTCACAATATCCCACTGTTTAAGAAATCCATTGTTTTCTGTTTTTTGTTCTTATCAAATAAGACATCCTTTACGTAGACAGAAGAACAGAGAATAGGAAATTGATGCAGATTAAAACATGTCCTTTGTGATGCAGAAGTATTTCTCAGAAATCGTAGGGGACTTTGAAAATGGAAAGTCAAAGCAATTAGTATTTATTGAAATAACTACTTCATTTTCTTTCTTTTTTGCCTATCCTTCCAAAATGAACAACTTTGAGTATTCATTTGCCAGTCTTGGTCATCCTGTAATCATAAATCATTAAATCCTACAATTCTCTTTATTCACAGCTTCAGATCATTAACCTTGTCATGAATGTTGTGTGTATTCAGATAGAATGCCTTTAATTGCTTTTCTTCACATTTCTTCACAGCCTGATTCAAAGCAATATCTTCTTTAACATTGTCTGTCAAATTGTATTGCTGACTATTTTCTTTTTCCAACAATTAGTTTGTCTTCGCTTTATTCTGAGCTTCCTCTCAGGATTCCATCCAAAAGGCAAGTTAATTTAAACACTGGCCAACAGCAGCAAAAAATGTCACTGCCAGGTTGGTAGACCTGATTATGATCAGATGTAACCCACCAATGTTTTACAAGTTATATCTATCCTAGAAATATTGTCCTAATGCCTCAAAGGTCAGTTGACTTTAATTGTCCATCAATTTTCTAGATAAGCATGTTGAATGACATGTGGCACTGAACGTACTCTGAGATGACTGCTTTTGAAGTCCTCTATTTAATTCTCTTTCCTAGCTCGCTAAAAATCTGTTTTACAAACTTCATCTCTCTTCCTACTTAATACTGTTGAAATCAAAATGGAACATAACCTCTGCCTGTTTAACCTCCATGAGAATAATACACTGCAGTCACTCTGTGACATCCTTGCCCCTGACACCGGTGAGACAACATACCATCCTGGTGTCAAACTGCCAAATCTGTGGCTTCTAAAAGGCCTGTTTTTCCCATACACTGTCATCATGGCTTTTCTACTTTTCTTTCCCCTTACCTTTTCAGCTGAGCCACTGTGATGTCAGGGACTTGGCTCTTGTTGTATTCTACTGACTAATTATCATCATCATCAGTATCCAAATGCAAAACTGTTCATAAGTGACATTTGTTCAGCAGAATAGCCCTGCATTATGTATGGTTCTGGTTTGCGATCAGTAATTTGCTGATTTTTAGATGATTCGAATCATCCCTACATCCCTGGTTCTGACACTGGACTTAATTAGGGAATGTGAAATGAAGAAGGCAGTAGGTAGGTGTTTCAGGGCTAAAGAATATCTGCAATTATTTAAATACAAAGAAAGGTAAGTATAATAGAAGAATACAGGTAAAAGCACTGAACAGTGAAATTAACACAATCAATTTTACAGAGGACAGTAATGAAATATGCTATTAAATAAAACACAGATCAATCATTTTTAGAATCTAAACAGCTATCTTAATCACAGAAACTTTAATCGGGCTTCATAACCTTGCGGCCCCTGCTCTGTCACTAGCTGCCTTCCCCTCCCTGTTAGCTAGGTTGGAAACTTTGGAGTTTTGGGAGTTTAAGTTCACCAGGGGGGAGAAGCATGATTTTGATGCGCAGCTGGCTGTCCCCGCTTGCCATACGTGATGCCTTGATAAAGACTTTGGAATACGTAGGCCTTCAGTCCGAGTTGAATCTACTGATGCGGTAGAATGCATATTGGATTATTGGATGAGTAATTGGTTTACCTTTCTGGTGGTTTTGCATGCCTGATTTTCACCTCAGGACTTATCTGAGGCCTTGTGGTGTCAGAGAGGTCAGTGGTTGCCAGAGTGAAATAATTGCACAGAGGCCAAGTCCCATCATCGAGTCACCCTTTATTTTCTAGGGTGCAGTACACTGGCCTTGGCCAGCTCAGAGTCAATTCTCATCTGAGGAGATTCTAATCTCCTGGTTATGTTGGTCAGCCAAGGCTTTCCTGATTGGCCCATGTTCACAACCCCAATCAAGAACTTTGTGGTTAACAGGGTCAACCTGGTCCCAGTCACTGCACAAAAGTTGTCAGTTCTCAGGTCTGCTGGTCATGATTGTTTGTGATTCCCCTGGCTTGGATCAGGTCTGTGTCAGTAGGTTTCGGAATTGCTGTCAGATTCCCACTTCCACAGATAGCTCTTGAAAATAGCCATTGGAATTAGCTGTTGGGGGAATAGCTCTTGGGGAGATAGCTGTGGGGATAGCTCCTTTGGGGAGATCGGGGCCTGCAATTATACTAATTGTGGGTCTCTTATCTTCACACCAATTCTGAGCTTGCCATTGTGTTACTGGCGCTTTCTTTGAAGTCACTTAGCCTCCCGATAGTTAAGAATATGTATGAATCTATTTTGATTGAAGTTGAATGTCCGGTATCTATATAGGTTCCATACTCTCTGTATTAGGTAGCCTGAGATGTAAAAGTTAATTTCAGTCTAGAGTGTAAGGTTTGGTTGATTGTTCTCTCAGAGTAGAGGTGTATGTTGGAATTCCAGGCTGTACAATGGTTCCAGGCAGCCGTCTCTACATCTGTGTATTTTTTACGAGTTCAGCCCAGCTGCCTCCTTTCAGCTTCACACATTATCCTAGCGGTATTGCATGGAAGTTGCACTTAGTTGTATTTAGACTATGACAGATTCAGAGAAAGCCAGCTCTACTAGAGCTACAGCAACCAGCTAAAAATAGATAATTAACAAAGTGATTACCACTGCTCTCCAGTGGTGAACTTGTTTATCTCTCTATCAACTTGACACAAGCTACAATTTTTCTTAAACAGTAAATTTCACTACAATGGTATATGAAAACAGGACTACATTTGCAATAAGAGATAGGACCTTATAATTTCTTCACTTAGGAAATTCGGAGCTTCTCATACAGTACAAACTACATTGTTGCAACAGGAGTTCCAACAGCTTTTCCAAAGTAATTCTCATTCTTTCACTGTGGCACTGCAGCGTTTCACTGGTATGATAGATGAGAATATATTGGGTCACCATGATGTGTTTCTTTTAGAGTTTCTCAGTTTTTTTTTCCTTTTCCTGTTTGAATGATTCCTTTTGTGTACACTTTAAAATTAACTGAAATGAAGGTTATCCAAATGAATATAAATCCACTGAAAACTGTTCATTGTTCTTGGACAAAGGGAAAAGGAGACCACGGTTAGTTGGTGGTAGTGATACCTGCTCAGGAAGAGTGGAGATAATGGTTGATGGCACCTGGAATACTGTATGTGATACCTATTGGGATTTACAAGATGCAGCTGTGGTCTGCAATCAACTCGGTTGTGGGACTGCGATTTCAACTCCAGGAGGTGCATACTTTGGAGAGGGAAATGGGCCAATATGGAATTATATCTACACTTGCATTGGCAATGAACTCCGTTTGACTGACTGCCCAATTGAATCCTCAGGACACCATGAGTGCACGCACAGAAATGATGCTAATGTCATCTGTTCAGGTAGGCATTGATTCATTGTCAAGCACCAATTATTCTGATAATTAAATTGTCACTTATTTGTGAGTAGAAATGTGCAATAGCATGTTCTGCTTAAATTGTGATATATCTGTGACTGAGATGTCAGAGTTGCTCATTTCTGTTCAATTTATCCTCATTATCAAAGGGAATTTAAATGAATCTTTTGAGCAATTCATGCGAGGGGCCCAACTATAAATCTGCACGGCAGGTGTGCTGGATATGACACTGATTAGAGTTCCAACTAATTCTCAAAGCAATATGCTTTATGCCAGGCTGATGTGAATTCACTACAATGAAGCAGGTGCTCACGACTCAGTCTCAAGTGAGTGTGTATAACTCATGAACCATATTAACACATATCCTTTGATCCTAAGTATTTTTTTACCTTATCATTCTGAATTGGATATGCAGAGTTTAGACTGACAGCGCATCTGGAGAATAGACTACCATTCTGGGTATCACACACATCGAAAGCATATCTTGACATATCCACTCACCATGTTCTAAGGGTTATACCATGAAGAGACCATGCAGTAACAAAAAGCTTTTCTTCCCTTGCAATTAAAGAGTGGTTTGATTGTAAATTTTGATATCATGAAAGGAACTGACAACATTGATAAAGTTTTTGATGCTGATGCCAGAATCCTGGATAAAGGGACATTGAATTAATATCACTGCCAGGCCATTCAGGGTAAAATGTAAGAAATTTTTTCTTCAAAGCATTGAAAACGTTTGGGACTTCCCCACTCCTCTGTCCATGATCAAAAAAGCATTGGATGCCAGCGAACATAATAATTTTACTCTGAGGTTAATCATTTTTGGCTATCCAGGGATAATAGGGCACATGGAACCAAGACTTACAAGTCAAGTTAAACACAAATTAACCATGAATAATTAAATGATAAAACGGTCTTTTGGGCTGAATGGAATACTTTATAGGTACTTTGCGCTTACTCACAACTTTGTTTGCTTAATCGATCAACACTTCATTCATTCTAGGCTCTTTTGATATGCTATGGGAGACACACATGACTTGACTTTACCCTCCAGAGATGTTCTGAGAAAATGATTCTTCTAGTGAATTATTACAGACTATATTATTGACTCAATAACAGTCTACTTGCTTCCAGTCTAATCTGAAAGCACTAAAAACATTGTGTTGATTTCTTCAATATCTACAAGAGAACTTTGTGTCGCCACCAGAGGGTGCTTGGCCAGTTGTGAAGATCTAGCCGTGCAGCAGGTGATGAGGGAACAAATGCAAGAGAAGCGCACTGCCTAAACATGTCTAATCATCTCAGATACATCCATCGATGGCAATATTGGTCACTGTAACTACAATGGATTTCTTATTGTGGTGAAATACAGTCTTTGCATAGCAGATGCTGACAACAATGGTTTGCCAGTAACACGGTGCTAAATTAGGTAGTTCCAGTGCAAACCTAAAAGCACAAGACTGGGTATCCATACATGCTATTGCATATAATAAGCAGCAATGTTTTATTTCATCACAAACAGTAAACTCCTGGCATGTCATACCTCTCATGGAACCTTTATATTCAAGGCAGATGACCAATAGTCTTTCAATGAGGAGTGCAGAAGAATATGCAATAAACGATACTCCTAAAAATGAGGGATACAACTTTGAGAAGCTTCAACATAAGGCTAAATGCCATACTAAACCACAGAATCATACACAAAATTAAATGAACTAATTGATCAGATTGACCGCCTGTAGCCTTGTCAAATTCTGTCATGAATTCTGGAAAATTAACCAAAAAGCTGTTTGAAAATATTACAAAAGCATTCCGATTGACAATAATGGATGTGCTCAGTACACCACTGTAAATGATAAGGCTGACACATGTGCAAGCATGTACCACCCAGAATTGCCCAGTAGATTACCCATTTCGGCATCTTAGGTGGTGACTCTGTGAAACTCATTGGTGCAAAGGGCTGAGAAGGCCAAGTCATTCAGTACATTTAAGACAGGGATAGATAGGCTATCGATTAGTAAGGGGATCAAGAGTTACTGGGACAAGGCAAGAGAACTTGGTTGAGAAACATATCTGCCATGATCCAGTGACAGCACACACTCGATGGGCCAAATGGCCTATTTCTGCTTATATATCTGTTGGTCATGTGAGACGAGCCTCCATCTTCAGAAGACTCCCTCAGTCATGATATGTAACTCGTAATGCCCTACATCAAATAGATTTAGAACTGATCTGTTAAATCAAAGATTCCCAGCAACAATTAATCAAAGTTCTGTCGACAAGAACCTCCAAGCCCGAGACTTAGATCATTTATGGAATTAAAGGTAACAGCCGCAGAGGAACACTAGCACCAGCAAATTTCCTTTCAACTCACACACCACTCTTCATTCCAGCATCGCCGTTCTCCTTCGGTTGCGGGAACTCACTCCCTTGAAGAATTGTGACTTTACCTTCAGAATCATGGAAGTTCCAAACCGTTGCCTGGCCTTTCCAGCGACAGCTACACATCTTCAAATAATAATAGTGTAATTGACAATGTACCTCTTTATTTTATCTTGCCTGCTTGTAAAGATCTTGTCCTTTGCAGCACATTAGCTTCAACCGAATCTTTTGAAACATTAATCTTCCAGGGTATCTCTACCTTACAAAGACCGGCTACTTTGTCTTCCTATTTCTGCTTTCTATTCTCTATTCATTAACTGGGGGAATAGATAAATCGCGCAACACGATTAACAGTCATAATTTATATTCAGATGATTATTTTTAAAACATTGCATGAACATAGATTATCAAATTGCATTCCTACAGGTGAAGATTGGCAGTTACGACTGGCTAACGGAAACAGTATTTGCGAAGGCCGTGTGGAAGTTTATTATGACGGTGTTTGGGGGAGAGTGATTGACACTGAGTGGAATTTGAATGAAGCAGAAGTGGTGTGCAGACAGCTGAAATGTGGCTCTGCAATAAACATTTACGACCACTTGAAGTTTGGAAAAGGCACCGGACCTACGTGGATTAATGATGTCAGGTGCAATGGAACTGAACCCTTCCTACGGAATTGCAGTTTTACAAAAAACGAGCAGTCGTCTCTTGCAGTTGACGTAGGAGTGGTTTGCTCTGGTATGGACTTCTTCATTTCCTCAGAAATAACTATTGTTCTGCTGCCAGCAATGGAATAAGGTCTGAGTGGGATGCTGTTTGGAGAATTGGTGTGGACCTGATGGGCCGAATGGCCTGTTTCCACATTGTAGGGATTTTATGTCAGTCGGTATGGTAACACTTATAACATTTCAGAAGTATTTAAATGTGAGCTTGTGATGTTAAGGCATACACAGCTGTGAACCAAGTGCTAGAAAAGGGATAGAATAGTTAGGTTTAGACTTGTTTTTGCGTGGAACAGACTTGATTGACTTAAATGACTTTTTCTATGCTGTAGACCTCTACAATTCCATAAGAAAATGAACGATCCTTATATCAAGAGCAAACTGTAAATATCTGTCAAATCTTTAGTATGCTAGTTATAGAACTTCCCAGTCAGGATGGTGTATGTCTTGAAGGGGCATTTGCAGATGGTGGTGTTGCCATATGTTTGTTGTCTCTTTGCACACAAAACTGTCATTGTGTACTGATTATGAAGGAAGTAAATGCTGAAGGTGTTGGCTTGGGGTTCCTGTGAAGTGGGAAGATTTGTGTTGGATGGTGTTGAGTGTTATTTGAATTGCACCAACCCATGCAAGTTGAGAATGTTCAATCATGCTCCTGTTTTGTGTCTTCTAAGTGAGGGCAGGTATTAGGGTGACAGTACATGAATTGGTCATTAAATAATCCCTGGTTTCTGATCTTCTCTTGTAACCACTACATTTATATACCTCCAACTCAATTTCTGGTTGAGGGTAACCATTAAAATGTTGACAGTATGGGATACAGCAGTAATGACACCATTGAACCATAAGGGTAGATAGTTACATTCTCTCTCTTTTGAGATGGCCAGTGCCTGGCATCTGTAGGTTGCAACCCTTCCTTGCCGCATATCAGCCCTGGCCTGGATGTTGTCCACATCTTGTTGTATATGGTTGCAGGTTGCTTCAGTATCTGAGGAGTTGTGATAAGTGCTGAATATTCACTGAACCCTCAGTGAAAGTCTACACTCTGACCTTATGATGCATGGAAAGTCGTTGCTGGAGAAGCTGGCAATGGTTTCCCTGGAACACTGCCCTGAGGAATTTCCACAGTAATGTCCTAGAACTGAGATGCTTGTATTCCTGGACAAAAGTTACATAATGATTTGTCCCAGTTACACAGTAATGTACTCTTCTTATTCTTTTCAATCTACTCCACGATAGTTGTTTTCATGCCTAATCATCAAATCCAATTGAACATAAGAACCTAAGAAATAAGATGTAGTTTATTTCAGCTCTTCCGGCAATCAGTAAGTTGATGGCTGATCTGATTGTGTCATTAAATTTCACCTTTCATGTTTATCCCCTAAAACTGTTGAGTCCAGATGATAAAGAAAATCTAACTCAACCTTTAAAATATTCAATGCACAGCCTCCACTGTCCTCTGGCAAAGGGCATTTCAAATAATGATGACTTGAGAGAGAAGAATATTCTCTGTAACTCTGTCTAAAATCAGAAATCTATTAATTTTTTTAAGCAGTGCTGCCTCATTTAAAATTGCCCCATGAGGGGAAACATCATCTCAGTGTCTACCATCTAAGCCTCTCTGAGACATATATATTTCAATAAGGGCACTTTTAATTCTTCTAAACTCCAAGGATTATAGGCCCAACTTCATCCAAGCTGTCCTTGTAAGATAACACACTTGTTATCTCAGATTTTCCAGCATCTGCAGTTCCTACTATCTCTGATACAATTTTATCCCAGGAATCAGCCAAGTGAACCTTCTCCGAATTGACCCACATGTGCATAAATTCCTCTTTAAATGATTAGCAAAGATTTCTAATTGATTGGACTACAGACATTTCTTTGCCATACAATTTGAACAATGGAAGGAACCTAAATGCCATGGCTGAAACATTGGCAACAGACTGAAATTATAACTTGGCAAGTTTACATTTTATAAGTGCTCAATGGAAGTAGTATTTTCACTACAAGTGTGCCCAACTATTTCACTATGTAATTTAAGGAAGTTAACCTATAGTGGTGTCCAGCCTGAACAGTTCAACTCTCAAACATGCATTGGGTTGATCACAATGCCTTTGGTGCAATCTACCCAGCCAATCAGCTGTAGTGTTACCTTCAAGATAGAGATGGACAAAAATTCCTGACCTAAACTATGACACCACTGCAAAGAAACTGGATTTTAAAACTTGGAGGCGTCATTTCTCAATCAGATTCAGATGGATTTGAGCTCTATCTGTTAAAATCATAGAAATGGTCATTTTACATTTTCCTTTCATACCCATGATTATTTGTAGCATTGTAGCATCTGTGTTGTGAGGGGCTGCAACTGATCATTTTTAGCAGTTCACTTTCATTTTGAATGTGTCTTGGACCCTAAGACAGTAAGACAAAAGGGCAGATGTAGGCCACTCAGTCCATTGAAACCACTATTCAATGAGATCATGATTGATCTGATAATCTTCAACTCCACTTTCCTGCCTTTTATCCGTAACCCTTGATTCTTTCTTTGATTAAAAATCTGAATTGATTATGGAATAAAAAAGGCACAACATATTCAGAAAAATGGAACAAACTTATTGTTGCAAGTAAAACAGTGAGAAATGAGATATAAATTTGGAATAAATTTGATGTGTACAGCACAGGGACTGTTTTCTGGACCAGAAAATGTTAGATATAATTATTCCTGTCTTACAGATCATATTCAGATAAGATTGGTGGATGGTGGAAGTCGCTGTGCTGGAAGGGTGGAGCTTTACTACAATGGAAGCTGGGGAACTGCGTGCGATGATTTCTGGGATTTAGCAGATGCCCAAGTTGTCTGTAACCAGCTGAAGTGTGGACAGGCTTTAAGTGCACCAGTTTCTGGTTTATTTAGTCCAGGAGTGGGACCTATTTGGTTGGACTGCGGAGTGAATGATTCTGTCTTGTGGGAATGTTTGTTGGGACCGTTGAGCAAGAGCGACTGCAATCATAAAGAAGATGCTGGAGTTATCTGCTCAGGTAACGTATCCTTTCAAATATTCACCCTTTCCAGTCCTGTCAAATGGAATTCTTTAACAAACTTGGGCATGGACTGATATTCAAATTTAGTCCGGGCAATCACTGAATTATGCAATTTTTTTCCTAATGCTGTCAATAATGGGCAAGGCTATTGATTTACTCACATGAACATATGTTGCCCATCTCTGAAAGACAACAGTACATATATAGACAAAAATACAGGGGAGATACATAGAGCACTGTAAAACTGCAATTAGCTTATTAAGTACTTAAACAAATAACACACACTTTTAACTACTAGAGATATCTCAATTACTGTCTTCCACTACCCTGATTTCTGTAACTAAACCCAAACACTAATACCTGGGAGAGTTCACAGCTGGCCAGACTGAAACACTACTCAACATCTTCACCATGCGTCCTGGAGCGTAAGAGGTTGAGAGGTGTCCTGATAGAAGTTTATAAAATAATGAGATGTATAGATAGAGTTAATGGTAGTTGCCTTTTTCCTAGGTTGGAGGACTTCAAAACTAGGGGGCACATTTTAAGGTGAGAGGAGAGATTTAAAAAAGGCACGAGGCAAGTTTTCTTACACAGAGGTTGGTTCAAGTATGGAATGCACTCCCTGAGGAAGTGGTGAGTGTAGGTACGATTACAACGTTTAAAAGACATTTGGACAGGTACATGAATAGTAAAGGTTTGGAGGGATATGGGCCAGGAGCAGGCAGGTGGGACTAGCTTAGTTTGGAATTATGTTTGGCATGAATTTGCTGGACCAAAGGGTCTGTTTCCAAACTGTATAACTCTATGACTCTGTGACTCTCTCTGGGATCCATCTCTATTTACCCAGTCATCTTTCCTTTACCCCACACCCTGTCCAATTTCTTCTTCATCATAAATATCAGATTTTTTTCAAGCTGCTGTCAGTTCTGATGAAATTGCCAGACTTGAAACATTAACTCCGGTTTCTTCCCACAAATGACATGCTGAGTTTTGCCAGCAGTTTCTATCTGAGTTTCAGATTAAAGTTCACACTATATTCTACAGACCACAGAGCTGTGAGGCTGCAGGATGGTGCGAACCCCTGTCAGGGCAGAGTTGAAGTTTTCTACAATATGACCTGGGGGACTGTTTGTTCTGATTCTTTTGATATGGAGGATGCAGAAGTTGTTTGTAAACAGCTCAGCTGTGGATCTGCCCAATCTGTGGAAAGTGCTATTACATTTGGAAGCGGTTCTGGACAGATCTGGCTCGATGATGTGAACTGTCGTTTGCATGATACATTCTTGTGGCAATGTCCATCTTCACCATGGGGCCAACATAACTGTGACCACAAGGAGGATGTTGGAGTCATCTGTTCAGGTAAGAACTGCAAATGGAACCTAATCGTCTTGAATTATTTCACCAATGTTTTAATATTTCTATCATTTATAAATCTGAGACTATTCACATGTTTATTGTCAGTGTACAGATAAAGCCTTTGCACTCACACCTGCATCGTTTCCTGGTTAAGCAGCAATTTGTTTTGAAATTTTGATCCCAGTTAATAGTTCCTTCCAAGGTTTAACAATTCCCTACTACTTTAAACTGCTGCAGACCCATGACTCTCCAAAATATCTGCCATTCTGTCAGCCTAGTAGCTTGGGCATTTCCAATTAAAGTTGCTGCACAAGTCGTGAAGGTATATTCAATCACTCAGGTCCTCAGCTTCATAATTCCTTCACTACACCTCCCTGCTTCAATACATCACTTTTGTCTCTTACAGTACTCCTTAAAACTTGACTACGATTGACCAGGCCTTTTATCTTCCAACCCAATATTTAACTTGTGCCTTTGTGTTACATTTTGTTTTACTGCAATTCCATGAAGTGGCTTGGGACATTGAGTGCGCTGTATAAACATGAGTCTTGTTGAAGTAATTACATGTTTCTTTTTTAGAACTAAATCCAAGGAAAATACACAATGAGGGAGATACAAAGAACAGCAAAACTGAACCAGTTTCAGAAAAATTCGGTAAGTATTGATAAGGATATGAATAAATATCATGCAGGAGGATTCCTTTCTTGTTAGTTATGGAATTTCATAAATCAATACAAAAGTGATTCTTTACAATCTATCATCTCAACTTTTACATCACTAATAACAATTATTTTGTATCATAAATATCAGTTATTTAATATATGGTAGCAAATACAGTTGCCAAAGTACAGAGCACGATTGTCTTTATGTCAGCTAGTTTCACCCCCACGGTGATTGGTTATATTGGTGGTAGCCATTTGACATTTGATAATTTGTATTGCTAAGCAGTGGAAAGGGTTGAAGGATGAGTCCTGGGAAAAGGTGAAAAGAGTTCGAACAAATCAAAACACAACATCAGCTGTCAGACTGCATCTATTCAATATTCCACACTGGAATGAACACACTGTCCCTGTTAGGGACAATTGAAACTTGGCATTTGGAATTCCGCAAAGTTCTGCATAACTGTATGTCAGGTTTTCAATTACATTCAGCAGGCTTAATTTTAATGATTTTAATAATTTTATTAGTTCCATTTCCACGCTTTAGACTCTTTCTCTTTAAACATTAGTAAAAATGAGACTGAGCAGTTATTTTGCGTTGTACAAATTGGGCAACTAATTTATTTTTTTAGATTGCAGCAAATTATCCCAAACCTGTGAGATTTTATTTTAATCATTCATGAGACCTGGCTGTCACTGGCTAATTTAGCATTTATTGTTTATCCCTAATTCCTTATGAGAGCATGATGGTGATCTGCCTTCATGAACTGTACCAGTCCTTGGGTGTAGGAACCTACAGCATTGCTATGTAGGGGAGGTGGGTGATTTTGACTGAGCAGCAATAAAGGAAAGGTGACAACTGGTGAATTTCTAGATGGTGTGTAGCTTGGAGTCGCATTGTTTACTTTCGTGTCAGAGCTCGTGTGTATCAATAGTTGAAGGAGGTTTGCTGAGTTTCTGAAGTGCATTTTGTACATGGTACACACTGTATCATTGTGCTTTTTTCTTATTCTGGAACAAGACAAAGTAATTTTATTCAATTGCACCTTAAAACACCTCAAATTCTCACACATAAATTTGTTTCTACAGAATTGCAGCTGGCTGCAGGATTTAATACTTGTTCTGGAAGAGTTGAAATATTCTTCAATAATACATGGGGAACAATTTGTGATGATTCCTGGGATAGGCATGATGCTGCTGTCGTCTGTAGACAGTTAAACTGTGGCCATCCAGTGTCAGCTCTGGAAGAGGTGCTATTTGAAAGAGAAAATACCACAATTTGGATTAATGAAGTTAAATGCAAGGGGAGTGAATTATTCCTGTGGGACTGCCAATTGTCAGTGATGGGCAATCACTACTGTGAACATAAAGAAGATGTCAATTTGATATGTTCTGGTATGCCATTTTAAATTTAATCTCAATTTTACCACATTCATCCTTACATTCAAAACACTCCAAGCTCTCATTTGCCCTATCTCTGTGTCCTAAAATGTATTACCACCCCTAGAATTCTCCAATGTTTATTTTGCGTTTATCACTAACTGTAATCCTTTCACCATTTCTTCATTTAGAAGATACTGTAATTTATCAATTTTATGTGCAAAGTGTATCACTGAACACATAGCCATACTGAGCTCGATTTTCCACCTTTCAGTTAATTTACCATTTGCATGTTTCTCTGTTTTCTGCAACATTTACTTTGCCAACTCTCAAGAAGTCAGCATTAAACTTTAATATTTTTCTCCTTTTTTACACTGAAGTCGCATTTTTACATTATTTCCACATCCATACTACAGCCCACTGTATTTCCAAATATTTCTAAATAGTTAGCGCAATTGATGTTTAACACCAGGTTATAATCAAATGCTGTTCAAAACATGGAAAGTGCAAGATTCAGACTGAGTACACTACTGAATCCAAACTAAATGATTACATATAAGTAATTGTAACAACGAATGCAATTCCAGAATTCCACTTGATAATGTGCTTCCTGTCCAATTTAATTGGCAAATATTTCTGTTCAAGCTTTTGGTATGTCTGTATGTAAATGAAATGCATGAGACCAATTTCCTTTGTGTTATTATTAAATGTTTTTGATTACAGGCCATCAACAAGTCACAGCTCCCTTCAACCAGCAGAGAATCCCTCTATTCATCATCCCTTGTATTTTTGTTACCCTTTTGATTGCTGTGTCACTTGCTTTGGCTGCAGAATTACAAAGATGCTTCCAGAAAGGTTGGTAAATTTAATATTAAAAGCTCTGCCCCAGATGTATTGTGGTTGATTCCTCCTAATCTTATCATTCTACAATTCTTACAGTTTGCAGGAAGGATATGGTCACATGTTAGTTACAGAGATAATAAGCAAGGATGTTACACAAATTGGAGAATTTTCGTTAAACATTGTTGGAAGGAAACCAGCAGTTGAAGCTTCTCATTTCACACTCATCACACAGAAACAGACTTGAAGAGACTGCATTTAACACAGCATGAGAAGAGGGTGATGATTGGTTAGAGCATCACTGGCACAAAGATGAGGCAAGTGGGACAGTTAACTGGCCACCTTCATTCTCAGGCCAGTCAGATAGATTCTGATACCTTTATTCATTCACGGGACAAAGGTGTCGCTGGGTAGGCAGCATTTATTGCCCATCCCTAATTGTCCATGGGGTAGTTCAGGATCATTCACATTGCTGTGGGTCTGAAGTCACATGTAGGAATGGCAATTTCCTTCCCTAAAGGACATTAGTGAACCAGATGGGTCTTTCCTGACAATCAACAATGGATTCACGGTCATCCTTAGATAATTAATTCCAGATATTTATTGAATCCAAATTCCACCATCTGCTGTGGTGGGATTCAAACTCAGGTCCCCAGAACATTATCTGGGTCTCTGGATTAACAGTCCAGCGATATTACCACTAGGCCATCGCCTCCCCACTGACTGATTAGTCAGGGCATTGCTATCAGAAAACAGCAGATATTTCCATGACACCTTTGTTTTACAAACGTAATGTTTCAGATGAGTGTGAGACTGTTATGGATCAGGTCAAACCCCTCAAAATATATTAAGAAGATAGCCTGGACACTAATGTTTCCTTATTTTAAAGGCAAGTGCCAGGTTTTGAGTTCCTGATACAATTTGATTGGTCAAACTTCCAGTCTTGAAGCAAAACACACTTTATTCATACATGACGGTTCAAATGCAACAAGAGAAAGAAGAAATTGGAATTACTTAACACTGTTAGAAAACTTAACAGAAATATAGATTATTTAACTACTAAACAGTAACTGTTCCAACATAGTAACATCCGATAAACACAAATTGCAAAGGCAAATTCGTTAAATAGATTATCTTACATGCAATTCTCCAGTCCAGCAGGAAAATCATCAAGAAAATGCTCTGAGAGAGAGACAATAGTAGGGAGAGATGTACTACAACTCTGAAACCCAGGCTTAGGAGACCCCAGATACTGCTACTGAAAAATTAAGACTAACAGTCCTGTCACTGGGGGAGCTTGAACTCACCCATTCAGGCTGCCTCTATTGTTTCAACTTTAAAAAATAACAAGGCCTCACAAGCTGTTTATTTTATTGAATTAAAGTCAAAAGCTTGGCACCGCTGTCTTAAACATCCCTTCAAATAAAAGGACAAAAAACACCCTTGAAGCTATAATATTATCACACCTTCCCCCTTCAAAGAATGAACCAGAAAGCAGGCTTCATTTTTAAAACTTTTAGTCTTACACAATCAGCAGACAACATTACATAGCCTCTAAGCATGCAAACATTCACTGCCACAGTCCAGTTCAATCCTATTTTCCCATCACCGAATGCCTCTGTCTTTCTTAATCAAATTTGCAGCAATGCGTCAGCTATCATGTTCTCTCATCCTGCCACATATACAATTTTCAAATTAACTGGCTGCAATACTAAGCTCCATTTAAACAGTCTGGAATTTTTATCCTTAGAGTTTTCCAAACATTTTTAAAGTTTATGATCTGTATCTACAATTGTCTCAGACACATTACTGGCAACATAAATGATGACATGTTGCAATGCCAACAGTAATTTCATTTGTGGAATATTTCTCTTGATGGTTATTCCGTTTTCTCAAAAAATACCTATCTTCTTGTCATCTTGCAAGAGTATAGCACTGACTGCCGCATCACTCTCATCAATAGCTAGCTTGAAGTGTTTTGCATAATTAGATGTGACTAACACAGGGACAATGGTTAACACAGCTTCCAGGCTGTCAACTGTCTTCTGACATTTCTCCATCCACTGAAGCTTTCTGAAGTTCTTCAGCAAATCAGTCAGTGGTGCAACCACACTGCTAAAATTTGATACAATCTTCCTATAAAAAAGCACTCAGTCTCACGAATCGTAGTACTTCCCTCTTCATCGATGGTGTGGGAAATTGCCCAATAATCATTGTTTTCACATCCCGTGGGGCCATCTTTCCATGTCCAATGACATAACCCATGAATGTGACTTAGGCTTTTGTGTACTCACTCATATCCAGGTTTATCACCAAGCCTGCCTACCAAAGTCGATAGAACAATTCCGATAGATGTTGCAAATTATCCCTTCATGTGTGACTAAAATTCAGCAGATCGTCAATGTACACCACAAAATTGGGTAATCCCAAAATGACTTTATTGGTTAGTCTTTGAAATGTGGCTGGCACATTTTTGACATGAAATGTAAATGACATTAAACGGTTACAGTTCATTTGGTGTTACCATAGCCAAAATTTCCTTCGCTCTTTCAGATAAAGGGTGCCTTCCAATATCGTCTGAGTAAGCCCAACTTAGAAATATAAGTTGCTTCTCCATCTTCTCAATACAGTCTTCCAAACGTGGATATGTAGCAGATTTTGTAACTGCATTGACTTTATGATAGTCCACACATAATCATTGGTACCATCTGGTTTTGATAACATTGCTTTGCATGAGCTCCATTCACTGCAACCCACTTTGATTATATTGTATTCAAGCATGTGGTCAATCTCTTTTTGAACTTGTGCCAACTTTAGAGAGTTAACTTGATAATGACATTGCTTAATTGAAACAGCATTTCCAATATCTACATTGTGCATAATCAGATTAGTACTTCCCAGTTTATTCCCATATCTCTCCCTACATGACTGGGATTTTTAACTCTTTCAGGTCATTTTGGTTTCCTCTGGAAAATAATTCAATCATTTATCCCAATTTTGAGAACTTTCTTATTTTCCAATTTAATTAGAGGAATGTCCAGTTCATAGTTACCTGAACTTAGTTCTTCATTCTGTATTGTAACCAACACCACATTCTCCTTTTGCTTTCCTTCCCTATCAAAATACCTTTTGAGTGTATTCACATGACACATGTTGTGAAATTTCTTTCTATATGGCTTTCTTATCAAATAATTCACCTCACCCAGTTTCCTTTTGATTTGATAAGATCCACTAAAACTTGTCAACTTCCCTAAAATTTGACATATAGTCCAAAAGTGTGGTTTCTGAAATCTGACTCAACAATTTCTCCTTATTTGATATCAGTGGTCCTCTCACCTCATGTCCAAAAACTAATTCAAATGGACTGAATTTAGTTTATTTATTAGGTTTATTCCTAATCGCAAAAAGTACAAATGGGATTCCTTTATCACAATCCTCTGACAGTCTTGAATATAAGCCCTCAATGTGGTCTTTAAAGTTTAATGCCAATGTTCATGTGGTCCTTACAATTTTGGATGTACACAGTGGATTTGAATTGCTTTATCCCTAAACAATTCATAACTTCCTTGAATAACTTTGATGTAAAGTTTAACTCTTGATCCAATTGTATCTCTGTGGGTAGTCTGCATCTCGTAAAAAAATTTGAGTAACTCTTCTACAATCCTTCTAGCCAGGATACTGTATAAGGGAAAGGCCTCTGGAAATCTAGTTGACTCATCTGTTATGGTCAACAAATACTGATTCCCACTTTTTTTTTAAGGTAGGGGTCCTGCACAATCAATTAAGACTCTTGTAAAAGGTTCCTCAAATGTGGGAATGGGTATTTAGGGTGCTGAGTTTTATCACTGACTGAGGTTTTCCAATTACCTGACAGGTATGAAATGTCTGGCAAAATTCAACCACATCCTCCTGCATTGTGTCTTGAGTCTTCCTTACTCCCAAATGACCTCTTACTGGTAATTCATGTGCCACCCTCAACACCTCCTTTCTATATCCCATTGGTAATACAACTTGATGAACTTCTGTCCATTTCTCATCTGCCTGAATATGTGATGGTCTCCATTTCCTCATCAAGACTTCATTTTTAAGATAGTAATATTCTGGGATACACTCAGATACTTCTGGTCTGCTTCTTGATACAACAGCTGTAGTTTTTTTTTCATATTTCTGTTGTAATTCAGCTAATTTCTCTGAACTAAAAATATCTACTTTGTCCTCCACCTGTTCTTGTCTTTTTCTTCTCAACCATTTGATCAAACATAGTATCTGATAATTGAACTTCAAATTCCTTATTTTTATTCTTTGATTTCTCTTCCAGTTTCTATCTGTCGCTTTGTGACTTTGTTACCATATGGTCAGGAAAAATCCCAGGATATACTTCCTGTATGAACTCGGTTGTCTGAGTTTCCGCTGGCTTCTCAACTACAGTAGGCATCACTCTCAACTGTGATCCAATTGTATCATTACTTATGATAAACTTTATTTCTGAAACTGAGAATTTGTCTATTACACCCAAAAACACATCACTGCTTTTCACCAGACTCTCCAACCCCACTCTATATAATAAAATACTGCTCTTCTCACAATGAATCCCACATATTACCATATTTTATGCCAATACTCCTGAATTACTTATTTCCTCATCTCTCACGATCAAAGATTAACTTGCTCCTGCATCTCTTAAAATCTTAATTTCTTTACCTACTCCTCCTGGCACACATGAGTAAACCTTACCCATGCAAGTAACTTGTTTAAAGAGATCTGGCACTTTCTTCTCAAATGACCACTGATCAGTTTATACTTTCTTTTGCAGATTATTAGCTTCCACTGAGCTTTCCTTTGCTACTTCAAGAAAACTCACTGCCTTATTTTGTTTTCTACACCCGTCTTCACAGCGCTTTTTCTAAACTACCAACACTGTGACTTCATGTAGCCTACTTGATTAGAACGAAGGCTCCAGAGCTTTAGTACTTTTATTTCCCACTCATGGGTTTCTTTTTTACCCTGTAATAAACTATCTTCACTTTCTTCAATGAAATCTCCTTTTCCCTTCCACCTGAGGATTTTTCTTTTTTCATATGTACATCCCTCACAAATTGTCGGAAGCCAAATTATGATTTATGAACCAACTCATAATCATCTGTCATTTCTGCTGCTAATCTTGCAGTCTTAACTCTCTGTTCTTCCACATGAATTCTCATTGCTTCAGGAAGTGAATTTTTGAACTCCTTCAAAATAATTGTTTCCCTCAGAGCGTCATATAGTTGATCTATTTTCAAAGTCCTTATCCACCTATCAAAATTACTTTGTTTGATCCTTTCAAACTTAGAATACATTTGACCAGGTTGCCTCCTTAGATTCCTGAAATGTTGTCTGTAGACTTCTGGTCCTAACTCATAAGCACTTAAAATCACCTCATGATACACCTCAGATACTTCCTCTGATAGTGATGCAAATACCTCATCAGCTCTACCTACCAATTTTGTTTGGATCAACAAAGAGGCGGCATGACGGCTCAGTGGTTAGCACTGCTGACTCATAGCATTAGGATCCCAGGTGCAATACCATCCTGCGTGACTATCTTTCTGGGGTTTACATGTTCTCCCTGTATCTGCATGGGTTATTGCTGGGTGATCCACTTTCCTTCCTCTGTCACAAAGATGTGCAGTTTACTTGGATTTACCATGCTACATTGCCCTGTAATGTCCAGAAATGTGGAAGCTAGGTGGATTAGACGTGGTTAATGTGTGGTTACGGTGAAAGGGTGAGGGTGTGTTGAGTCTGGGTGGGATACTCTTTGGAGGGTAGGTCAGAATGAAGCAGCTGATAATGGTTAGGCCTAGGAAAAGATTTACAAGGATGTTACCAGTGTTGGAGAGTTTGAGCTTTAGGGAGAGGCTGAAATGGCTTCGGCTATTTTCCCTGGATCTTTGGAGGCTGAGGGGTGATCTTAAAGAAGTTTATAAAACCAAAAGGGTCATCGATAGGGTGAATAGTTAAGGTCTTTTCCCTAGGGTAGGAAAGCCCAAAACTAGAGAGCACAGGTTTAAGGTGAGAGTGGCAACATTTAAAAGGGACCTAAGGAGCAACCTTTTCATGCAGAAGGTGGTGCATGTATGGAATGAACTGCCAGAGGAAGTGATGGAGGCCAGTACCATTGCAACATTTAAAAGGTTACTGGATGAATACATGAATAGGAAGTGATCAACCCTGGCTTATTGAATTGTACGGGATGGCATGCCAGAAGCAACAAAATGAATTGTCTACCTGCTGAAGCTACAAAACGACATGATTGTTGTCATACACCAAAAGCAGCAAGTGATAGACAGGCCTAAGCAATTCCAAACCATCAGCTCTGATCTAACCTGACCTAAGTACTACCATATTTATTAAATAAATTAGAAAACTTACTGGATGATAAGGCTCCACAAATATTCCCATAGAGTCATGGAGTCATACTGCATGGAAACAGACACTACTGTCCAACCAGACCATGCCGAACATAATCCCAAACTAAACTAGTGACACTTGCCTGCTTATGGCACATATCCCTCCAAAGCCTTTCTATTCAGGTGCTTATCTCAGTGTCTTTTAAACATTGTAACTGTACCTGTATCCACTTTCCTCATTTCACATGCAAACTACCCTCTGTGTAAAAATGCACAATAATGAGAGAGTCCAGTACATCAGTGCAAAACATAATGTTGAAGCATTTGCAAGAATTTGCAGCCAGAAGCATTAAGTGAATGATTCAGCTTGGGTTTCCTGCAGAGCTCGTCACAATTATAGATGCCAGTCTTCAGCCAATGTGATTTATAATATCATGTGATATTTTAAAAAATGTCTAGAAGCACTGGACACTCTAAAGGCTAAGGACTGTGAGAAAATTCTGGCAATGGTGTTGAAAATGTACACACCAGAACTTGCTGCACCCCTTTTAGATTGTCTAGTACAGTTATAACGCTGGCAAGTGGAACATTCCCCCGGTGGCCTTGTGCAAAAAAGAATCAAGACCAATTCAACCCAGCCAATTACCATCACATCAGTCTTTTCTTGATCATCAGGAAAATGATGGAAGGTTTCATCACTAGTGCTGTCAGGCAGAGCTGTCTTAGCAATAACCTGCTGACTGACACCCAGTTTGGGTCCCACCAGGTTTACATCATGACCTCATTACAGCCTTGGTTCAAACATCAAGGTCACACTTGACTGATTGTGGTATCAAGGAACCATTGCAAAACAATATTCAATGGGAATCAGGAGGAAAACTATCCATTGGTTAGAGTCATATCTTGTAGAATCAGAGGAAGATAGTTGTTGTTGTATGAGGTTGTTTATCTCAGCAGAATTCCTCAGGGCAGTGTCATAGAGTCATGGAGATGTACAGCAAAGAAACAGACCCTTCAGTCCAACTCGTCTATTCCAACCAAATGAATTAATCTACTCCCATTTGCAAACATTTGATACATTGAAAAGGTTTAAAGACATTTAATGTCATAGTGCAAGACTCTGATTGTGACTATCACATTAAGACCATTCCTCACGGAGCCTGGGTCTACAGTTGCAGCAGGCTGTTTTAATAAGCTTTAGCCACATTGCTGTCTCAATATGACCATGGATTTCATGAACACTTGCTGGCTAAGAAAAATACATATTGATGTATCGGTGCAGAAATTTCTTGAGGACATAGCATCCTTCAGGGTTTGGCGAATGCAATTTAAAAGGTTATATAAAAGCTTTCCAGGAAACAATAAAGAAAGATGGAACATGGAAAGTGGGTATTAGAGATTGATGTAGTCCTTAATGCGTGTTCATGTATAATCTGGCTTTCTTGGTTCCACAGACAACAGAAAGACGCAATATTCTACCAGTAGATTTCCTGAACCTGATTATGAAGAGATAGAGATTCACAACTTTGGTACAGACCCAGGTAATTTTCTTTAAGATACATATGATACTTTTATATTAAAATGGAATGGTAATTTTACGTTTTCAATGTTTTCCACTTATAGATTTCCACTCTAACAGTTCCCTGAATAAACTGGAATATTATACAGGAAGTGAGTTACATGAAGGTGATGATATACATATGCAAGGTATGCCAGTTTGCGGCCCGCTCTCATACCATTCCATCACCGCAATGGAAAGCAAGACAAACTAAAATAATCTCCTCTAAGTCAAGCTACCATATTAACAATAGATTTTTCTTTATTTTTTGAGTCACTCACGAATATAAATATGATGTAATATATGAATATTAACTCAAATTGTATCTTCCAAATGAAGAACATTGACAGTGTGGTTCAAGAGCCATTGCCTTGTTATTCGTCACCTTCAGCAGTTAGAAGAATGATTTCACTCAAATATCTGTATGTATTGTGATAAACATCAGTCAAGGTCACTGTTAGACAATTCATTTGGTCATTTTTGGACGACATAGTTGAAACTGCATTTCTCATTGTCTAAAATAATGCAGAAACACCTTCTGGACATTTAACAAAATTCAAAGAGCTACCACAATATAAATGTTACAATTATCCTTCTGACCAGTGTTCAGAACAGACCAAAAGTATAAATATTGGCCCCAAGGACAAATCCTGTATCTTTATGTGATACATTCTAAAGCTGTTTGAAATGTCACTAATGGAAAAAGATACATTGATAACATGTCCTCAGTAATCAGAAATAGAAATTAAGTACTTTTTTCAAAACAACAGAAAAGTCCTCATGACAAGCATTTTCCTTTAAGCTATTCCTATTTTTAAACATAAAGCATTTTTATTCAGAAGTCTTAAATAGGTTTCAGAGGAATAGATAATACATTGTAATTAAGGTTTTCAATTAAAACAGTTATAATCCTTTGTGGAGTCAGTGATGGCAGAATGAATACATGGAGTAATATAAATTGATAGTAAACCAATTGGCAATGCGCTGGATTCATGAAATGTCAGCAAACTAAACTGATTATTTTGGGGTTTAACTTGAGTATATTAAATTCATTTCACCAGCCCATTTTCCTTTTTTAGATGCACACACTTCAATCAGTGCTGAACTTGGAAGAGAATATGACGACATTCAATAATTTGAGAAGGAGTTGTGGTGACTTTCACCACTTGTGTTAATGGGAGAAAAATCACATTTGTTAATTATGTTTCATGATTGAACCAAATGTGTAATGTTATTGTAGTGATACATGCAGCCTGTTCTAAAATAGCTGAATGAATGAAATAGTGAACAAAATGTGATTTTTGATACTGAGTATACTAAGTCTAATTCAATTCTATGCTGTAGAGTAGTCTATTGATCTATGTGAATTGTTGACTTTTAAAACTGTAAACAAACTTGAATTCTATTTGTTAATTTTTCTTTTCTGAAAGAAACATGTATCTAAAACATCTGAGAGCTTTATTCATTTTATGACATTTTCTGGCAAAACAGTTTTTAGGAAAAAAAAATCAATGTCAAAATCAACATCAACATTTACAATTGCAGGACATGAAGAATCAGCATCAAGATTCTTACAGAATGACACTGAATGAATGAGAAACATATAATAAAAATAGTAGCTGCTGAGCTGCAGTTCCATCAGGGAAGCGTGAGATAACAAACTAAATGTGCAGCAAACAGTGTTTGTTCAGTAAATGAATCAAGATTATAGCTTTTAAAAAAAACCAAGAAAATTAATTTGCTTGAAGCTACATTTTATTATTGTTATGGTTGTATCAATGAAAACTGTTTGTACAGGAAGAGGCGGTAGCATGAGAAAGATAGAAATCTGCCTTTTGTAGTGAGCATTTACATTCATAATGGTCCAATGTAGGAATATAAATATATAATATGTTCCAAATCACTCATGCAATCCAGCAATATTAATTCAGTTGTTCTTTTTTTTGGGTTTGTGTTTCAATGTTGTCACATGTATTGCATGCAAATGAAATAAATGATATTTGTTCAAAATTTGGAATTCATGTTGATTTGTCCATATTTTTTAATCTAACTTTTTAGATGTGTGATGACACAGCTCAGGAATAGGTGGGACTTGAACCTGGACTTCTGGCTCAAAGATAGATTTGTAAGCAAATAAAAGTAAATATTGTTTAATAATTGATAATAATTGAGAACCACAACTACCTAAGTTTGAACATTCCCAAAAACAATGTGAGATTAATGTAGAAGAATCTGCAAAACAGCAAAAGAAGAAACTATGTATTAACCCATTCAGCTGTATCTTGGTACATGGCTTTGAATGGAAGATAAAGAATTTAATTTTAATTTGAAACATCAACTCATTACAAACATTCCACTATGCCACTTAAAACCTGATCAGTTGAATAGCTCGATTTATATTAAGGATAATATAATTATCTGACATACTGATAATATTGCTCTTAATGTTTACCAAAAAATATTAAATTTTATTTCTTTGAGACATGAAAAAAATAAAATTGTAAGGAACTACTGTTATTGTTTGATAACCGAAGCATTACTAGGGTGAAAATGATCTTAAAGGACTGACAAATATTTTGCTTTACCCGCACACCTATCCAAGCGTTTCAGTTAGTGCTTCAACAAGGAAAAACGGCACATCCTTATAGAGACTTCATGACTGCAGGATTTGTTAAAACACTTTCCAGTCAATCAGGTACATCTTACTTTGTAACACTATTGCTCTGATGGGAGCATACCACAGATGATCTGATTTGCACTGAGTTGGTGATGGATACATCCTGGTCAAATCAATGGCGAAGCTTTAACATGTCCCATCATAAAACTCTCACAACACAAACAAATTCCCAGAACCCCTTCCCCTCCCCCACTTCTGATGAAGGATCTAGGCCCGAAACGTCAGCCTTCCTGCTCCTATGATGCTGCTTGGCCTGCTGCGTTCATCCAGCTCTACACCTTGTTATCCCATTATCACATGCTGTTTTAAAATAATTATGGCTCCAGAAAAACTGACAAGTTAATAATTCAACCAACCCATACACATAGACTAAAGTGCACATACTATCAGTTCAAAATCCAAGCTCTAAGATTAATTTTGTATAATATACATCAGAAATGTTTCACCACACTAGTTATTGACATATCTGCCAAGGCAAGGAGATCTTCCTACCCACAATCATATGAGTCCTTGCAACGTGATGGACATCAACCAATTTAGAGATGTACAATAAATGCTGGCCTTGCCAAAGATGTATATCCCCATGAATAGATGGAAAAAATGTTTGATAATTGCTATGCAATATTGTTGACTTTCAATGTATTCTGCCTTAGATTATCTTTAAACATCATGATTTAATTCTGTTTCATTGCATATACAAACCTTGGTTATGACCATCTGTATTAACAGTAAGTAGAAACAATGATGATATCTGCCAGGCTTGTCATGATTTCAGCCTGACACAGTGTGTCACTGTCGGAGTTTGGTGAGTAAGGGAAAGACTGAGTAAACATGCAATCAAGTAACTACATTACATAGAGGCGCCATGAAAGAGTGTGTGAGTGATAAATAAGGAGCTGTCATAAAAATGCTGCTGCTGTCCATGGTTTCAGAGGGGACTAGTCTGATTCTGAGCAACTCAAGTGTGATATCTCAGATAAACTGTAGTTCATTGATGAGGAAAACATTTCTTATTTACTTTAGAGAACTCAAATTATTTGAGTAATTGCAAGATTTTATCTCGTAATGAGTTTTATAAATAGCAGTTAATTCAATTGACAGGTGAGCATTTCCTCTTTATTTTGACTGGAAATTTCAAAAGAAGTGATTGGAGCATTGATTCAAGGAAGGATAAAAGAAGAGGAAGGATTAGTCAGGTTAATTAATTGAGTAACTGCTATTAAACTGGCAGAGCAGGTGAAATGTGATGTGCAAAATGTGGAAACCTTTGCAATCTGAGGGATGCAAGTTTCTATTAAATATTTAAAACTGAAGGAACATTGGTTCAGTGTGATTCAACTGAAGGTTGAGCCGTGACACATCATCAAGGGGGAAGTTTACTTGGACACTTTGTTTCAGGAGGCAGTCGCACATATTAAGATAGTGTTGTCTACTTTGGTCCTTGCTCAAAGACTGGAGGATATGACTATGAAAGAGGCAAAGAAGTGGATTGAGAATGTATTCATGGAGGACTTGCAGCCTTTGAAATGATCTCATAGTTTATGATAGAGCTAGCTAAAGTCAATGGATGACATAGGTAGAAATTTAACTCTCAGCAAAGATTCTTTCCTGTTAGACATAACATCTTTTTGTATTGGTCGCATCATCCAGAGGTATATAAGGAATTTAAGTACAGGACTGGTCATAGTTTAGTTGTGTGTTAATATCAAGTGAGCTAAGTATTAATAACATATTTTGTTTCAGTGTTGTTAATTCAGGTGACTGATGTTATATCTTCTCTTTGTCTTCAGCTGTATGTTGTTAGGTAAGATATAATCATATGATCCCCACATTAACATAAATTCTTTTGGGAAGAATGCCTTGTTATGGCTTGATTGACAGCAAATCAAGTATGAAGATGCTTTCAAATGGAAGTTTAGTTTGAAGACACATAATTTTGTATTTTAATTGGCTTAACTGTTAACTTGGCGAGTTTTAAGAGAAAGTAGTAACTTAGGTATGCAACATGCATTTATACCTAACTTTGGAATTCTGTTGTAACTCAGTATAACAATAAGGTTTAATGCTTGGAAAACTGACGGCTGCCTGAGAGAAAAATGTTCTCCATTTAAAATGGGTTACCCCATTATGTGTGTCCCTGGTTCTAGATTACACCTGGATGTGTAAACTCCTCCATAATCTACTTTGTCAAGCCACTTAGAATCTTGCCTCTTGTTTGTTTTTTGTATGTTTGTACGTTTACTAAGGAAACCAGGATCCTGTTCACTTTGGTCCACATGTCCTTTGGTCAAAAACTTGGTTGTTTTAGCTGCCTTGCGCCGTAACCTATCAAATCAATCAAACCTGTGCCTTGAGGAAAGTGGCAAGGGATGGACAAGAATTGCTAACATCCCTGTGAGCTTAGACTGGAGTTTGAAATGTGCAGGCTTCTGATGACGAAGTTTCAGATGAATTTAGCAATGAACAAAGATTTAGTCAATATTGCATAATTATTTTACACCCCATGCTTATTTGTAGCGCAGTAATATTTGCATTGGACAAGGCTGGAATTCACAATTTCACGCAAATAGTTTCATTATTAACATGAATCAAGAATGGATTGAGGCAGTCTTTTTCTGACATCTCCAACAGTGGATAACTATGCATGTAAGTTAATCTAGAAATGCATATGCACATTATGCCAGACACTACATCATCACTTAGAAAGTGCAGCTGACATCATATGCAAATAATGCACTGAACATGAGTGTTGAAGTGTGCGCATTTTTGAAACAATATTCATCGGCAGAGGATGGAATGATGGGAGGAGGGAATTGGGGAAAGGAGAGAGATTTGATCCCTGCATTCCCCCACCTTCCACGTCACTATATCCCAGGTCCTGACTTCCACTCCTGTATTCCAACCTCAATCCCCTTGCAATCTGCATTCCCCAAAACCATTTAAGGAACATACATGATTTAAAGTATCATATGAAGCTCTTGCACTGATGTCAGCAAAGGCAACCGGAAGTGCTTCCTAACCCCTATAACCATGTGTAACAATGCATGTGTGCTAATCCAGAGACGCATGACTCTGAACACTACATCATCACGTAGAGTGTACGTGTGGGTAGCCCAACATTTGTTACACTCCCATAATTGACGTGGAAAAGGTAGTAGTGGGCTGCCTTTATGAACCTTTGAAGTACACAGGGAATTGGTACATCCACAATGCTACTTCAGAATGAATTCCAGGATTTTGGCCCTGTGACAGAGAAGGAATGGTGATATAATTTCACATCAGGATGGTGTGCGGGCTGTAGGGGGAATTGCGAATGGTGATTTTACCATGTATCTGCTCTCCTTGTCTTTCTAAGTGGTAAGGGCTATGAGTTTGAAGAGTTCAGTCGAAGGAGCCAATGTTAGCTGGAACAGTGCATTGTGTAGATAGCAAACGGTGCTGCCAGTGCCTACTGGCGAAGAAGGTGAATGTTGATGGTGATGCATCAGTTGCCCGTAAAGTGAACTATTTTTTCTGGGACATAGTCTAGATTCCTGAATGCTTCGGAGTTGCAATCATCCAATAAGTAGAAGGTACTTCATCCCACTTCTAACTTGTGCCTTGTAGATAGTGGACAGGTTTTGGAGAGTCAGGAGGTGAGTTGCTATATAAGTTGTTGTTGAAGTAATGTTTGGATTTTTTGTTTAGAACTAAGTCCAAGGAGAATACACAATGAGGAGGAATTGAAGAAAAGTAAAATACAACCTGTCCCAGAACATTTTCGTCTTTATTGATATGGATATTAACATAAGCTGTATGAGAGCATTTTTTTATTTTCAAAAAAAGTCAATGCTTAAGTAGATCTTTAAATTGTGTCCATCATCTTAATTTTTGCACCATTCAATCAATTATTTTGCATACAGTAGTGAGTGCTCTGGATAGGATTAAGTGCAGTGTGTGATTGCCTTTGTGCCAGCATATTTCACCTTTGCAAGGATTGGTTGCATTAAGTATAGCAACAGGAATGTATCAAAGCTCACTTGGTAATTCAGTTTTGCTAATTAATTGAAAGCCTTGAGGGAGTAATCCAAAGATCAAATATTGGGGGGAAGAAAGAAGTTCATGAGGGTGATCTATGCAGAACAGCATTAGCTGTCAGACTAGCCACACAGAATTCCATATTCTAAGGTTTTGGAGTAGATCTGTAGCTCGGGTTGTGGGTGTTGAGGTTGGTTGGCTCACCAAGCTGATTTGTTGTTCTGCAGACATTTCGCTACCGTGCTTGGTAACATCCTCAGTGCAGCCTCTGATGAAGCGTCGGTGTGTTTTCCCGCCTGGTTTTTAAACTCCGG